TTATTTTCATAAAAAGATTAATTTACAAACTAAATTTTAAATACTAAAATATATGCTAAATTAAACAAAACATACACAATAATATAAAGATACAAAGCTTGATAAGTAATTCATACTTTAACTAAACATAACTACGAAATAATTATCAAACATAGTCCTCATAATTACGTTGCTGTGCAATATAAAACAGAAAAAAAATATATTTTACATGCAAAATAAAGTAAATGTGGAATGTTCTGTGTCCAAATCTTAGCCATGAAACATGCGTAATTTCATACAAAATATGAGTAGAAGATATTATTTTGCTAGATACTTTTTAGTACCAGTAGTACATTTTTTGCGGTAAATTTTTATCATAGCCTATGGCTCTTTATACAACTAAATATAAAAAAATATAAGAAAAACCGTTAAATTTTGTTTACTTTTTCATGAGTACAATTGGAAGGATAATTTTGTAGTTATATCATCAATTATTGTAACTACTGCTATCGAGCAGATTAATTACAATTAATTATGTTACTTGTTTTCTGCTTTCAAATCATAAGATTTAAAATTTGAATAAAATTTAACATCAACACAAAGGTAACTAGATTTAGAGCTCAAGTAAGTTTAATTTCTATTTCAAATGACTAGCGATTACTAACAATGGTTAAGTAAAATATTCAACAGTCTTATGATTTATTGAAAACAACTAATTTTTAAATGGGACTAAATAGAATTTATGCATTGAAAGAAAATCCAGAATAATGGTCCAGCAAGCAGATGCAGTTCTGCCAACCAAAAGTTTTTACTCGGCTGGTGTGTTGGCAGCAGTGGTCTCTGTGGTAGTAGACACTGTTTCACTTGGAGCGTGTTCGTTTATAGCCAAGAACGGAAGTCGTTTAGCCAACTCAATCCTGCAAAACACATGGGAAGATAAATTATTCAATTATACCTACAGTCTTCAATTAAATAATTTTTATAGTATGGCTATTTTATGAATAAATTCAATTTCTCTTTATGTTTTTTAATGTACTTCACCAAAAGTATTTTAGAAAGTTAAAAGCCCAGTTTATCAGGAATCTTTGTAACGAATGTAAATGAACTTTTTGCAAGAGGAATATGAATGGACATGTTGGACAGTTTTTCAGGGAAAACGAAAACTTAACAAAACGGTTTTACAATTCATGCAAAACATTAAATTTATGATTAGAATAAAAAGATTATAGATTCATATTTTGTATTTGCATGAAACAATACAGACAATTTCTTGAAATTCCGTGACTGTCCCAAAAATTCTTAAAAATTAAAATGAAAAGTGATTTTGTTTAAAAATAATTAATTTTAGATAACAAAAATAAAATTTTTATAAAACTTGTAGAAATAGGCTATGTTTATGGTAAATTTTATTTTGAAATTTCCTTTATCAAAAAAATCTCAAATGTTCCCTTAAAGATTTGTATGGTAATTCCAGCAGAGTTGTCAAATTGTATCCTACTATGATGGTATATAAATCAAATAATTTAGACCCTCCCCAGTCCCCAACACTTTATTATTTTGTGAAATAATATAAAAAACTGCCGTTTGGTATAATATAATGCAGTATATTTATTCAGTGAATGGCAAGAGTAGGGGTGCGAATGTTCTCTCAGTTTTCTGGCCCTCTTGCACTATCCTCCCTATTGACACGATCTTTATTTTCAATTGTTATAATCGTTACCTGTATCTAGGGTGGCTGATGGCATAGACGTATGGGTCGATACATGCTACTGCCTTGCAGGTTAGAGCGGGAATCATCGTAACTCCTGGTGTCAGCAGGGATCTGAAAGGAACACATCATAAATCAGTACATATGCGTTAATACATGACAGAACTAATTGTACGAACACTACATTATGGGGTCAAATCATTTTAAATGTTAAAAGTTTTACATCTTTTATGTTTTCATAAGCGAATGACAGGTTATGTGATTGATTGATTACAGTATTAGGTACCTTAATTGATACTTTGGGGTTCTGAGATGTATGTAACAATCTTTATGTGAGTAAACATTTTATTAATTTATTCACTCATTCATCCATGCTACGCTTTAATCCATTCATATGAGGATTAGTTGCTCATATCTGTTGATAGATATCAAAAGTATGAATGAGATTTTTAAACTACAGACTTATCTGTTTATTTGATTTATATTGTATTAAATATGCTAAAATACTCACTGGTCCCCAAACGCTCCGATGAGCGCGAGCACAGCATATGGTGTCCAGGAGGCAACAAAAAGGAAGCAGATTGTGATCGCAGCCTTGGCAATTCGGATCTCCGCAGACTGACTTTGTTGCTGCTGGTTACTCCTTAGCGATTCAACATTCATCTTCTTTGCCTGAAGGATCATCAGTTACACTTTAGTTTGAAAACCAATCTGTTGTTAGATGTTTGACAAAGTTGAGAAATGAATACAATATCTCCTCAAATCATACAGATTATGACAAAATTGTAATCACATTACAACCAATGTCACACAAAACTATCTCAGTATACTATGTATAAAGGAAAAGTAAAAACAGACCACATACTCATTTTCTTACCTGTTCTCGCAGGGCCTTCTCATGGTTGACAACATGGCTGACAATCTGTGAGTAGAAGAAGACAATCAAGCTCATCGGCAAGACGTAGCAGATGCAGAACAGAACCAGTACAAAGAACCTGTTCTCGTCTGTGTTGGTGAGGTAGTCAAATGAGCAAGCTGTCAAGTATCCCTCTGGAAAAAAATGAAAAATATCATTACTGTTATTCAATTGATTATTGCTGAAATTTTCCATTTTGATAAAAAAAAAAACAATGTCTTTACAACATTTTGGGTATAAATTGTAGTTTGTTTTCCCCAAAGTGTCCATTTGGGTTATTTTTTAACAACAAAGAATGCCTATCTTATCTTCTGTTTTAAGATTATTATTTTCTTCAGAATCAGGCCTATTTATTGTTGCTTATTTTACTTATATTTAAGTGTCTGTGGAGGCTTTACTTAAGTAATTTTCCAACTTTGACTATTGTTCTCAATCAATGTTTCATCAAAACTCTCCACATTAAAATACTGTAAACAAATTTAAGTATGTTTACCAGGAGCGTATCGTCCCCATGTTTGTGAGGCTGGTAGGAACACCCATGGAGTAACGTACATCCAGATACAGAGGATGAACATGAATGCCTTCCCTCGAGACATCTTGCCATCCAAAGGTCGTGCAATCGTACTGAAAAAATCACAGTGTTAATGCTAGTAAAACACTTCCTTATAAATTGTGTGTTGACAATTTGTGTTAAGTTCTGTTGTTATTAGAACACTGCAGAGATTGAACATGAAATGGCAAGACTAAATGCTACAAGGTGTGGAGGATGGAGGCACACTCACTATAGGTAGAAGTGGAGGCAAAATGTTGTGGGTGAAAAGGTAATTGATTTAAGTGGTCACAGAGATAAGTAGGGTAAAATCGTAAATTATACCATAGAAAAGGAACCTTTAAGTAAAACTAGCTGCAATTATGTGTTAGGTACTAAACATGTAAAATTTACAATAAAATACATTTTGTTAGGATTTTGTAACTGAGACACAGTTTTATTGTTATTAATGGTGTTTCAGTAGGGAGAAGACTACAGACTCCATCTTGTTTGGACTCGAGTATGAATCACAAACTCCCACCTTTTCTTTTTTTTTCAAGTAAAACCGATGTTTTTCTTGTAACAGTTGCTATTGTAAAGTTAAGGATATAAATAAAATAAATTCCATATAATCAAGTTTTATCCTATTTATTTTTCCTAAGAACCATATAGTGAATAAAGAAACCAAGACAATATATTCTGGAGGGTTGATTTTGTTTGGCTTAGCTACAAGCTATTCGGCTTACTCAGATTATTTAACCTACCTGTATCGGTCATAGGCGATGGCAGCGTTTGTAGCAGCAGCTCCGATCCCCGACAGTGATCCCATGATTGCAAATACCTGACAACCTGTCTGGCCGAGGGCGAACCCGAGGTTGAAGGAGTTGTAGATGAAGATGGGAGTCTTGAGCATCATCATGAAGTCGCAGAGCGCTAAGTTGATGACAAACATGTTGGAGGGAGTACGAAGATTTCGTGCACTGAAAAAATACAATATCAACAGTTTTCTATTTACTGTAACTAAATATAACTGTGATATTAGGTTACTACACATTATGTGATGTTGTAGCTCAGCTGATTTGGCACTCCTTCTACTGAAATTTTTGTACTGGGAAGAAGGAATTTGAAGGAAGAGAAAAGGTAGAAATGGATAAATTGCAGCCTGGAAAAGGTGTCATTCTAGAAATGTAACAAGTCAACAATTGTTTTAACTTATTTGAACAAGAATAAAAAGAGTTAAAAATTTTAAATCAAACAAATATAATAATTTTATCTACAAAAATAGGTAAATGAAACTACCTCAGAAAAGGAACTTATTGTCTTAAAATTATAAAAGAAACACTGTTGTGTTGGTTATGAATACAAAAATTTAACACAACAAAATAAAATAATATATTTCTAGGTTTTAAATATAGTTTTTATATACAAAACTCACATGGATTAAAAATTTGTTGTATGGACAAAGTTGCTAACAAATCATAAAAATTGAAATAAATTGTTTACGAAGACATGTAGATTGAAAATAGTTTGTCTCCTTGTAGGTCAAAAAAATTTTAAAAGTACCGGTAGCTAAAGCTATTTGTTCAGATGAAAATAAATTATGCAATCTTTTAAATAGGGCAAATCCTATAAAAATATGTTTTTAAAAATAATAAATTCTTTCAAACAATTAATTAAAACTGACCGCAACAAATTTAAATATTTTAAAATATGTTTAATACCAGCCAAACAAATGCTAAACAATATTATAGTATGATATGGTCAAGCCCAGGCTTCATAAAGCCCAAGACCAAAGTACAAAACCGGATCATATGTAGGTTTAGACCTGCACAAGGACAATCCTCAAGTCCTTATCAGTCTGCCCTTATCAGTCTAAGCCTAGATCATCTCATATCAGCATGGAAAAACATGAGCTTTCAGGTAAATGTGAATTTTTATTGCTATAGAAAACTAAATAGATGACGATTCAATTGGTTTTTGTAGTAACCTTATATCCACACAATCTATTAAAATTAGAATAACAACAGAACTTTTAGACCTTAAAAATGATATTAGGCCTAAGTACTAACACCAAACTAAGTTTGGCGACAACATGAAATTTTATTCTTGTAAAACAGGTGGGAATTTTACTAAAAAACATAATAATAAATGTTTTAAACTGATTAATTTGAAATATTACTAGTGCATATATTATACGATTAATGATTGGGTTGTTTGGTAATAAAAATACACTTTAAAAGTCACAGATATTATGGACTATTCTACAATCTGTTTACCCGATAAAGGTTTTTGATAGAAAAACTTATGCTGTATGGAAGTATAGAAATGGGAAAGGTTAAGGAAAAGTCCATCCATGTTATTGCAGTTGGTTATATGATGCCAATAGAATAATTAATTGTTATGCTTGTTGTAGAGAGTTTCATCAAGTCTTTTTCAAATATAGCCGTCAATAAAGAGGAGAATGGAAATGAAGACAAAAAGAGGTGAGAAATGAGGCTAATTAAGTAATACTTTATTACAGTATGTTTTAAAACAGCGGTTCTCAGCCTGGGGACGCACCCCCCTATACTCTGATTATCGAAAGAATATGCCTTGTGGAGCGGCCGTACGGTGAGCGAGTTTGAGTATAAACATTATATTTCACAAACTTGTGGAAACGTAACACAGAAGGTTAGAAATTTCTAGTAAATGGTGCTTAAATAGTCAGTTAAGCACGTTTTCAGCGCATGTTTGAAATATTTTGTATCTTATTCCGATGAATTAATATTTGTAGTCATGTTTTTAAAAACACAAATTTGCAAAATTTTAATTGCGATTTGTGTTTTTTTACAAATATAACTACAAATATTAATTAAAATTAATATGAATCGGAATAAGATAAAAAAATATTTAAAACATGCGCTGAAAACGTGCTTAACTGATTATTTAAACACCGTTTATTAGAAATTTTTAACCTTCTGTGTTATGTTTCCACAAGTTTGTGAAATATAATGCTTATACTCAAACTCGCTCACCACACGGCCGCTCCACAAGGCACATTCTTTCGATAATCAGAGTATAGGAAGATGGGTGGAAGGATTTCAGGGGGAGGGGTTGTGAGTGATCCTAAAATAAACGATTATTAAAATAAAGCAAAAACTATACAACATTAATTTGGAATTGTAAAAAATTTAAATTTGATCAAGTTACCTTATTGAAAATAGAGTAACAGTGTGGTAGAAAATTCCCGGAACAGTTTAAGACATTTTACCTACGACCATTTTTTAAAGTAGCCGCTTCAGTTCAGTTCTTAGAATTGAAAAGTTTCACATAACAGCATTGTTTACTTTCATAACAGCATGGTTTTACTCATAACAACACGGGTAATGGACCAATGAGGTTCAAGGATTGAGAGAGAAGAAGTAAAATTTAAATGATTGGAACTTCAACTAATCAGCTGTTCAGGCTAATTTAATTGTTGAGTGGTACAATTACAATGTTTCATTGCATCACTGTCAGTGGCAATGAGAGGTTATAAATGAAAACATGACCTCTCTTAGAAGTTAATGATAAGTAATTTTTAGTAATTAAAACACTGTCATAGGTAAAGTAGTGTACGCAACTCGTGTAAATAGTGTTAACAACGTACACATCGTAGAAGTTTTTAAGACACTCGCCAAGGCTCGCACCTCAAATTTTTTCCTCGTTTCGTTAACACTATCTTTATCAATCGTTGCGTAAACTACTATTTAGATCAGTTTAAGAGAAAGCTATTAAAGTTAAATATTTATTCTTTGTACCGTACTATAGTCTCTAAAACAACAAGTTTTACCTTACTAACTTAAACATTTTTTTCTCTTGTAGAGGCTCTTCAAAAAAGAAAATAACTGGAAAAAATATTAGTGTGCAACCTCATGACGTAAGTACTTGTACTATTGTTGCTCAGTCAAGGACATTTTCTTTTACTGAATTTATTACCGATAATATAGAAGAAGGGCTGTATGAACATGTCGTGTGTTTCTGTGTTTCTACCACTAAGCTAGAAATACAACTGGAGGTACCAACTAAAAGAATCAAACAGCTCATTGGCTCATGGCTTCATTACAATCTTACAATCCCCTACTTCCAATGTACTAAGTACAATGTCTACAATGTAATATTACCTTAGTACATATGGTGGCCAACGTCTCTCATTCAGTGCTACTGGCATTTTAAAATGTTTTTTGTGAGGGAATGGTTGTAATTTAGTGTTGAAAAGGTCCGATAAAAATTCACTTCCACAATAAGAACAAACTTATTAACAATTATATTATCATCTGTAATCTTATAAATGGAAGTGTTTTTTTTTTTTTACTTTCTCCCCCTATACCTATATGGAAAAAATATGTTTTTGACAAAATTGTTGGGTTTGAGTTTTGAGTTGATACAGATACTGTATCGGTTTTGGGTCCCCCTGGACCCAAAAGTGGTTTTCACAGTGATGAGTGCGTGTGTGTGTGTGTGTATGGATGACGTGTACAGAGCTACAGACCACACCTATGGTCCAATCTAACATAAACAAAATAAAAGGTTGCATATTAAAGTGTGTTGTGTAGTGTAAAGTGTAATTGTGTGGCTGATGTATCGTACAGGCTAGCGAAAGAAATGCAACCGTATCAGATTCCGAGTGGTTGACTACAACTGACACGTCCGTCCATTCATCTCCGAGTGCTGATGAGGAAGTGCCAAACGATGTATGTAATCTTGTACATTCTCATTCTTTACGCTAAGAATTTGTAAACAGGTGAAGAGTTTTAGCCGGTGTGTAGTCTTACAACTCTATGAATGGGAACGATAATGTTGACGGTATCTAACAAAATTATATCCACAATATGTTGACATATAGAGAACAAAATGTAAAATGTAAATGCTAACATAAAAGTCAGAGTTAAAAAGTTGTAAATAAATTTTCTATTGCCAACATTAATGTTAACATTAACTTATTTCACAGGTGCTAGAGAAGTGTGATGGACTGGATGAGCTGAACCTATCGTCTCCTGATACTAAGAGAGAACAAAGAGGACGTCGTGGCAGAGGCAGAGGTCGTGGGTTTTATAGAGTCAACAGTAGAAAATCTGCTCCAGGTAAATCCACAACATAGAGTCCTTAAATGGGTCAAAACAATACCAAATTCGCTACTCACAGTACACTGATTATGAGAGTGACATAAAAAATGTGTTGCAAGTTCAAATGAGTAAAAACCAGATATTTTTGTAAAGGTTTTGATAAAATTTGAATTTGACTCCGCCATAGGCCTACGTTCATTCTCAGACAAAGCTTACTGTGTATTAATATTTTTTAATTTGTCTTCATTTTAAGCTTGTTTTAGTGTTTATTTGATATCCAAGAACACCATAGCGCATATTTCTGGCTAAATGTTGCTTTACCATCTAGATAAGAATGTTACAAGTGAAACGTTTTGTGTTGGTTAGTGGGATAGATGGTTTACGATAATAACACTTGATTCAGTGGATTTGTATACTCTGGTTTGAAAGTTAAAATTTCAACATAACAAATTTATTTTGACAAGACACAAGCACACTCTCACTATAGATTAACATAGGTACTAAAAACTGGCTATACATGTTATAAGTTGTCCTCCTTTATCAAGTTTTTTATGTCCTCTGTAACGCATAGTTACAGATTTCATTATTGTAATAATTAAATATAGGATGGAGAGGACACAGCTAACTCACCTGATGAAAGGTTGCAGATGAGTCAAAGAACACATAAAATCACACACATAATTTACTTAATATTTCGCCTCTTTCAGAGGCTTCTTCAGAAGTAGGCCTAGATGGTAGTTACAAAACAACAGTTTAAATAGGATGACACAGTTTGAATTCAAAATGTCTGACAGGTTGTCCAACTGACACTGCACAAAGCACTAAATACAGGCACATTGCAATATTGTATTTACATATAATATGTACATTGAAAAGTAAATTAGTTTTGTCCATGAAAATAAATACTTAAGAGTTAGCTGTGAGGGTGAGGATATGAGGATATTATCTAATGTTGAGGTTAGGTGGGGTTCTGGAGTTGGTCACAAACTGGTAAGCTAATTCCCATCTTCTGAGCATTGAACTATTGCATTGGTTCTTTGGCAATGATTTTAGAGCTTTTATGGTGAAACAGTCATCAAATAGAAGTTGGTGGGATAAGGCATGTTGTGCAACTGGTTTTTCTTTGCTAGTTTTAACATCATGTCGATGGCCGTTCATGCGTTTTCGGAGAGTCTCAGTTGTTAGGCCTATGTACTGGGCTGGACAATGTGAACATTGAAGCTGGTAGATAAGGTTCTCTGAGCTGCAGGTATGATGGCCTTGGATTCTGTAATTTTTATTATGGTATGTGCTGGTAAAAGTTTCTGTAGGATGGTGTATCTGGCAAGATTTACATCGGTTTTCATTGCATGGGTATGAGCCCGGTCTTGGTTTCTCAGATGGTATTTTTGATGGATTTGGGAGTTTTGGGTGGACTAGCATATTCCTCAAATTTGGGGGTTGCCTATAGATTATGGAAGGGGCTCTTGAAAGGAGGTTTTTGGTTTGGCTGGAGGACTCTAGGATTTTGAAACCTGTTTTAAGGAGGTTGTTTAGTTGTTGCAGGCCAGGGTGGTAAGTGGTTATCAAATTTACTTGAAGATGGTTGGTATTTTTCTTTGTAGTTGGACGTGGGTTCTGAGCCGCTTGGATCTGAGAATTTACGAGAGTGCTAGGATAGCCTCGGTTTTCGAAGGCTTTTTGAAGTTGGGTTTGGTATTGTGTACGGTCTTTCGGTTCTGAAATTAGGCGATTTCCCCTTAGGGCAAGACTGTAAGGAAGTGATCTCTTGGTGTTATTCGGATGACAACTAGAAAAATGGAGGTATTGTTGGTGGTTGGTCGGTTTTATGTGGATAGATGTGGTGAGGTTATTGTTCCTTAGATGAATTGTAAGGTCTAAAAAGTTGATGGAAGTCTCAGAGAAATCCCAGGTGAAATTTAGCGGTCCAAAACTGTTGAGGTCTTCCAGGAACTTCCGTAGTGATTCTTCACCGTGGGTCCAAATTATGAAAATGTCGTCAATGTATCTAAACCAGCAGATGGGGAGGTGTTCACGGCTAGACAAAAACTTTTCTTCATAATTCCCCATGTAGAGATTAGCATAAGATGGGGCCATTCTTGTACCCATGGCAGTGCCCTTGATCTGTAGGAAGTGTTTGTCCTGAAATTGGAAATAGTTCTTTTCCAGAATGAATTTTATCAGTTGAGTTATAAACGAAGTGGTGGGTAGGGATCCTTTGGGTCTGTTTTGAAGGTAGTTTTCTGTTGCTGTTAGGCCGTGGACATGAGGTATGTTTGTGTAGAGTGAGGTGACATCAATAGTGGCCATGAGAGTGTTAGCGGGGAGTGGTTGTCTGACATTGTTAAGTTTTTGCAAAAAATCAAACTTGGCCTCATATATCAAGGACTCCAATGATTTTTTGCAAAAACTTAACAATGTCAGACAACCACTCCCCGCTAACACTCTCATGGCCACTATTGATGTCACCTCACTCTACACAAACATACCTCATGTCCACGGCCTAACAGCAACAGAAAACTACCTTCAAAACAGACCCAAAGGATCCCTACCCACCACTTCGTTTATAACTCAACTGATAAAATTCATTCTGGAAAAGAACTATTTCCAATTTCAGGACAAACACTTCCTACAGATCAAGGGCACTGCCATGGGTACAAGAATGGCCCCATCTTATGCTAATCTCTACATGGGGAATTATGAAGAAAAGTTTTTGTCTAGCCGTGAACACCTCCCCATCTGCTGGTTTAGATACATTGACGACATTTTCATAATTTGGACCCACGGTGAAGAATCACTACGGAAGTTCCTGGAAGACCTCAACAGTTTTGGACCGCTAAATTTCACCTGGGATTTCTCTGAGACTTCCATCAACTTTTTAGACCTTACAATTCATCTAAGGAACAATAACCTCACCACATCTATCCACATAAAACCGACCAACCACCAACAATACCTCCATTTTTCTAGTTGTCATCCGAATAACACCAAGAGATCACTTCCTTACAGTCTTGCCCTAAGGGGAAATCGCCTAATTTCAGAACCGAAAGACCGTACACAATACCAAACCCAACTTCAAAAAGCCTTCGAAAACCGAGGCTATCCTAGCACTCTCGTAAATTCTCAGATCCAAGCGGCTCAGAACCCACGTCCAACTACAAAGAAAAATACCAACCATCTTCAAGTAAATTTGATAACCACTTACCACCCTGGCCTGCAACAACTAAACAACCTCCTTAAAACAGGTTTCAAAATCCTAGAGTCCTCCAGCCAAACCAAAAACCTCCTTTCAAGAGCCCCTTCCATAATCTATAGGCAACCCCCAAATTTGAGGAATATGCTAGTCCACCCAAAACTCCCAAATCCATCAAAAATACCATCTGAGAAACCAAGACCGGGCTCATACCCATGCAATGAAAACCGATGTAAATCTTGCCAGATACACCATCCTACAGAAACTTTTACCAGCACATACCATAATAAAAATTACAGAATCCAAGGCCATCATACCTGCAGCTCAGAGAACCTTATCTACCAGCTTCAATGTTCACATTGTCCAGCCCAGTACATAGGCCTAACAACTGAGACTCTCCGAAAACGCATGAACGGCCATCGACATGATGTTAAAACTAGCAAAGAAAAACCAGTTGCACAACATGCCTTATCCCACCAACTTCTATTTGATGACTGTTTCACCATAAAAGCTCTAAAATCATTGCCAAAGAACCAATGCAATAGTTCAATGCTCAGAAGATGGGAATTAGCTTACCAGTTTGTGACCAACTCCAGAACCCCACCTAACCTCAACATTAGATAATATCCTCATATCCTCACCCTCACAGCTAACTCTTAAGTATTTATTTTCATGGACAAAACTAATTTACTTTTCAATGTACATATTATATGTAAATACAATATTGCAATGTGCCTGTATTTAGTGCTTTGTGCAGTGTCAGTTGGACAACCTGTCAGACATTTTGAATTCAAACTGTGTCATCCTATTTAAACTGTTGTTTTGTAACTACCATCTAGGCCTACTTCTGAAGAAGCCTCTGAAAGAGGCGAAATATTAAGTAAATTATGTGTGTGATTTTATGTGTTCTTTGACTCATCTGCAACCTTTCATCAGGTGAGTTAGCTGTGTCCTCTCCATCCTATATTTATTTATTTAATCCAAGCTAAATGCTTTTTCCTAAAAACATAACATTATTGTAATAATGTAATCTCAATTAACTCTTTACTTAATAGTTACTATCTGGGTGCTGGCCAGCTAGTGAAATTTTCTTGCTAGTAAAGGGTAAATTTTACAGTGTGCACTCTGTATAGTTTCTGAACGTGATGTGTTATTGAGCTGTAATAGATCTATCAGGAGTTATGTTTGATACCTGATTCAACCCTTATTCTTATATTGTATACTATGTTTTCAGCAAGACCAATACAAGAGTCATCAAGTTCAACCGGATCTTCTGATTCCGCTTCTTCTTCTGATTCCGAAGATGAAACTACCTCTGAAGACACCTCAGACTCAGACTCAGAATCTACCCTGGAGAGTGGAACTAGCTTGTCTGGAAGTGAGGATTCTCAGACAACTTACACATCTCACTCGACCAACTCAGAATCTGAAGATTGTGACGACAGCTGTTCATGTTGCTCTTGCTCCTGTTGTGAGGATTCTTCAGTCTCTTCTACCTCTTACGAGTCAACTGATGATCTGACTGATCTTCCCCGAGTGAAACGTGGAGGTCGTCTAGGCTCCAAGGGTAGCAAGAAGGTGGCTCAACACTGCGCTCAGTCTTAACTCATTAGCCTTAAAGGCAATGTTGAGGCTTACAGATGTTTGTATTTTTAAAATTTTAAGATATGCTGATTACTTCAAGGTGTCACATTGATTTTAGAATGAGTTAAAAACAATTTTAGCTTTAAGATTAGGCTGTGGTTTTTCAAAATTTATGCATTTTCCCAAATTTAGAATTTTAAAATTAGATACATAAAAAAATACAAAGTCATAATGCAAAGAAGACTGTTATAGTATGAATGATGGAGACAAATAAAATGATAAAGGTATGCTTTAATTTTGTGGTCTACGAGTTTAAGCTAATTTTAAATTAATTAAGGATTATCAGTTAATAATGCATGTGTGATAAATGTAATTTATAAAATTATTGATTCTAAGATATTTATAAAAGACGCTTGCAATTCTTTTCTTTATAACGTTTGTAAATTGCAAGTTCTTAGAAATATTTCTGTATTGAAAATTATAGTATAAGATATTATTAAGGAATGTTATTACAAGTTTTAAAGATATATTCAGACTTTGAATCCTATGTTGAAAATACATTTTTACCAATACAATTTTTATTTTTATTTTTACCAAACTTTCTTAAAAATCTTAGATTAAAATGTAAAGGTGTGTAAATAATTAATTCTTCTTTCATGGAATTCAGGCTGAGGAATTTTGCAAATTTTTGTTTGAATGGAAACACATGTGTGCCCCTGTGTAAAAAAGGCTGTAATTAGCCCTGGACACATATCTTGTACTCGTTCCTGGGATTTGTTACTTAACATCTGATACGGGAACCATGAGTATACTAAAACCCTTTACAAATATCAAGCTAACAAACTGCCCAGCAGCTATCATGTATTTTACTTGACATTACAACCAAAATTAACTACTATTTCAACACCATTTCCAATAGACTGTAGGCCTACTTGTAGCTCGCTGTAAAGCTTAGTTAAGTTATTTCTTTATTTTTACAGTCAACCGTCTTGATTTATGGGAGAAACAACTCTTTTAGCTTTACCCGGCACCAACGTTAAGCCGTGTTTACACCAGAATATTTAACCTGTGTCTAAAACAAAACTTTAGAACAATCCGAAGAATGCTAGTTATTTGTTGGAAACATGTTCAGAGTAATTAATGGGTTTTCAGTGTTACAATAGAAATTTTGTTTTCCACAGAAAGTTGGAAAAATATGTTTACAGCCCTATTCCAAGTCCCATTTTCACCGGAGTTTACAAAAAAGTGCCAAACTTGAATAAAGTTAGCCACAGTTTTTGATTGTTGTAAACTCCATGTAAAATAGGCTTTAAAATAGTAGAGGCGTTTAATGACAAACCCCTTGATGTATTAAATAAATATAAGTTGTAAGTTTCCCAGAATGTGGATTTTACAATGTTAACAGTGATACTCACCCGCAGAAAATCCAGATGACTAGTCCATTTCCGACGAGAGCTATGATCATGAAGAAGACATAGATGAAGCCGAGCATGTAGTGTTGCATAGCTTCCGGAGCCTGGTACTTGAGCCAATGCTGGGGAATGTGGACGAGCTCTTCCGTAGGGACGTTCCAGCCCAGCATACGAGGTCCTCCACCCAGACCCATCCTGGAATTGAAATATGGGATGTGAACAGCTTAGGAGTTGAGATGGTATAATTCTGAGCTCTTATTGATTGCATTAAAATAACTTTATCCCACTACTTTACAAGACAAAAATACCCCCGCCGCAGCAAACCTGCCGTCTAAGCGAATTTCCATTTGGCCGAATTTATTTTCAATTGATCTATTTAAATAACATTAGGTTTAACGAGTACCTAGGTTTGCTGCTACAAGGAAACTAATAAAGTAGTGTGTTTTTAGTAAAATATTGATAGCTTACTATAAAATAAATAAATTTGCCAAGTTTGATCAAAATATATCCATAAACAAGCAAACTACAACATTTTACAATATTCTCCATAAGAATAACATGGGAATTTTAAATTTACTATTTTTTTAGTTTTCTCCGTAACCAATAACCGTACAAAAACACTTTGATATACTGAATTGTTTGTTTTTTTAAGCTCTTTAAGGAGGTTTAGAGAAAAATTGGGAAATTTTGTGTTTTGAGGGTAAAAAGTGAGAAAACCCAATTTTTACCCCATAAAACCCCCCATAAAACCCTGTTCCCATGGTCCGATCATGCTGGATCGCAAACTCATTCAAGTTTATCCCGCCTTACACCTTCAAACCAAATTTCATCAAAATCGGATAAAAATTACTCAAGTTATCGTGTTCACGGACACATATATATATATATAAATCTATTAAATATTTAAGTAAATAAGTACAACTGAGCACCCTGAATATTATATTTTATAAAAAGAAGTGACATGTTTCGGACATTAGTCCATTTTCAAACTTCAAAATACATGAAACACTTAACCATTGTTTATATTGATTGTTTGTAAATAAATATGATTTATATATATACAGATGGTTTATAGAACTAGACAGGATTTGGAAAAACTTTTTGTTACTGATTATTTAATTTTAAAATTTGGTCAAAGATTGGGTTTCTTGAAGGAATTTGGCTATTTAAAATATGATTTGGATTTTTTAGATTTTCTTCGTATATGAAATATTCTTCAGTTGAATCCATTTGATTTCCTTTGTTTAAAACTTTTAGAATTTTCATGTTGTTTTTTAAATTTGTGTAATTGTGGTTGGTCGATAAAAGGTGTTCAGCAAAGTTTGATTTCATGGATGTTCTGTTGTTACTCTTAAGAGCTTGAATGTGTTCTTTGAATCTAGATTTAAAAGAGCGTCCTGTCTGACCAATGTAGAAGTGTTCACAATCAGTGCAGTTAATTTTGTAAATGCCAGATTTGTCATAGATGTCTTGATGTTCTTTATTTGTATTAATGTTATTTGCTATCATATTGAAAGCGTTATTTTTTGTTTTAAAGCCAATTTTGTATTCAGAATTTTGAAAAGTTTTTCTTGTAGTCCTGTTAAGAGTTGTATTGAATGGGATACTAATGAATTTATCTTTCTTCTTTCTTTCTTTGTTTTCTTGATTTTGATTTTTCTTTCTTTTGATGTTTCTAATCATATTGTAGATAATGTTTTGCTTATATCCATTCCTTGATGCTAAGTATTTAATTTTGTTTAATTCTATCTCGTAATTTTTCTTTGTCATTGGAATGTTCAAAAGACGATTTAGCATGGATCTGAGAGCAGATAGTTTGTATTTCCAAGGATGGTTAGAATTTGATGGTATCATTAGGTCTGATTGAGTTGGTTTTCTGTAAATTTTGAAATCGTGTTTGTTTATGTTTTTTGAAATAGTTAGGTCGAGATAGTTTATTTCATTATCGTTAATTTCTTGGGTAAATTTTATTTTCTTGGACAATGTGTTCAAATATTTTAAAAACTCTTTACTTTCCTCTTCATTTCCTTCAAAAAGGCAAATTACATCATCCACATATCTGTACCAATATTTGATTTTTGAGTGGTATGGATTTAAATCATTGTTAATTTTGTTTTCTTCCAAATTATGTATGTAAATATCAGCTATCAAACCAGATAAAGGGGACCCCATTGCCAAGCCTTCTCTTTGTTGGAAGAATTTTTGATCAAACGTAAAATAATTTTGGTTTAGACATGTTTCTGTCAGTTTTGTGATTTCTTTAATTTCTTGTTCGGAAAGGATATTGCTCTTTTCTAAATCATGTTTTAATATCTTCAAAGTTTCTTTTGGGGGAATGTTGGTATACATGTCCTTGATATCAAAAGATATAAATTTTGAATGTGTTGGTATTTCTTGATTTTTTATTTTGCTAACAAGTTCAATGTTGTTTTTTATGCTGTAGTTTGTATCCCAATTAAGACTGTTTTTAATTTTATTATTTAAGTATCTACAAAGTTTGTACGTGGGTGCTGATCTAAAATTTACAATAGGTCTTATTGGTATATCAATTTTGTGTGTTTTAAAAATGTGTGTTAGCAAAATAAAAAATCAAGAAATACCAACACATTCAAAATTTATATCTTTTGATATATCAGCAGCCCTATAAAGTGAACACCTAAATTAAAATATAAATCTATATATATATATATCTACTGTATATATATATCTATATACATATATAAAAATTTGAACGAATGGTGTTTTTGGCCTCTGGGGACATTAAAATGAAAAAGTAAATCGGTCCCGGGCCTAAGTCTTACCATGAGACCTACGGTAATAGCTACTTCCCTATAGGGAAATTCGCTAATATTTTGCATAACATTTTACCTATAGTCGGGACCACATATGTTTGCAGTTGGTGGCAGCCAATCACAAGACAAGGCTAGTGCGACGTTGCCACATCGCCCGTTGACAACACTAATTAAAATATACAAAGCAATATTTTTAAATCAGCTGGTATTGTTAGATTTGGCAACACCACACGGTTCTCATTGGTTTATTCAAAACCATATGGTAAATAGGCTCCTCCCTCAACTGCAAACTTATGTGTTCCCAACTGTAGAGGATGGAGATGGAATTGGAATATGTTTGTTATTTAATATTTTCTAACATAAATAATCATTTTTCAGGGGTGCCCATCCCCCCCTAGACTCATGACGCACCCCCCCCCCAAATTGAGCAACAGCCCCCCCCCATAAATGAGGTACACAACAAATGAGAAACATTATTTCCCCGCCCAGCACTATTTGTAAAACTAAAAGAAGTTTTATACATTTTTTTAGATATTGAAAACTTAAACCCGGTTAATCTATATAAAAAAAGTTATGGTTTTGTCTGTACATTGCTCAGAATTATACATATTTTGGGTTATTTTTACGTTTTATACATTGAAGAAGTTGAAACATGTCTTATCTCAATTAATGTCCGTCTGTCACGGCCCAGAAGGCATTTTACGCAGCCTACTCTAAAGAAAAACTAGAGTACCGATTATGATTCTAATGGTTTAATTGTATTCACAGGATTGGCGAGAGTGTCCTTAGCCATTAACATATGGCCTCACTATTATGGAAATAAAATAACGGACGATCAAAAACCCAATTTTTTGTGATTTTTCTAGTTTTTTTCCTCCATGTTAACTACATACGTAATTTATGAAATACTAATAATCTGTTAAAAGAACAAGTCATATATTAAATTACGAACAGCTGTTTTGATAAAGATTCATTTTCTAGCTGTCACTGATATATTTAAATAAACTAGCTGTTACCCACGGGCTTCAACCCGTTTGACTTCATAAGTATTATAAAAAACTATTGATTGGTTAAGTTAAGCTGAAATAAACAAAACAGAATACAGCATTACAAACAAATAATCACACCAGATTTTAATAAGGTAATAAATTGAAAGAATAACATACAAATAAGAACAGCTGAGGTATTTTTAACATTAAGTACATGGAAAGTTCCCTTTGGAAAGCAATTATGACCTTAAAGGGCAATTTATGAATAAATGGATAGTTTTGCACAAAGTTTCTCGTCATGACGAACATTTTAAGCAAATGGTTAATGGGAGTGTGAATTGTAGTTTTCTCAAAAGTTCATGGGTACT